GAAAGAATCATCATTAGGCAGAGGAAGATCCCTTGACACAGGCAGTACTACCATAGGACACATCTATCCCATTGCGAAGCAAATCCACAAGAACACGATGTGAGGGTGGTGCCTTGGAAGGCTGTCTCCTCCATGGGCTGAAGACCCCATAGGAAGACTCTGGCTACTCAGCAGACCATTTTAGGTTAAGGGAAGCTAGCACCAACTAAGACCCACAAAACCCCCCGAAACCTCATTAATCTTTTGGAGAAAGGATTAAAGTTTCAGGATAGCTGGTGGTGTTGTGATACTGTGTGATATCAGGACTGTAAAAAATTTCAAAGACATGATCCACCTATTGTATAAGCACCCAGGCATGGCCAGATCCTGCTGCCACTAAACTGCCAGTGAAATCAGAGGGTTGAACGTGGTTCCTAGGAGCAGTGTTTTCAAAGCAGCGCAAACAGCTGCACAGCCACCAGGGAGTCTAAAGTCCATGCAAATCTCCTCCGCTTGCCCACTCTGCTCCCCACTGCAGCTTGTCCTATCAACAGGAGACAACTCTGCAGGAGCCACGATACACAACAAGGAGCTCTACCAGAGAAATCCAAGGGTGAAAGTTTGCACTAAAACATTCACGAGCCAATATGCTTTTGAATTATACAAGAAAAAAAGCAAGCACAAGCCAAGGTTTTACCCTTTTACAACACAGCTTAGCAATTAGATTGATTGCGTCTTTTAAGCCAGTATAAAAACACTTCTTGAGCAGTCCTTTATATCCACTTTTGCCAAGTTCCTTTTTATTCAGCTGATCCGTAAACCTTTGAAAATAAGTTTGAGGAGAGACTGACAACCTTGAAACCTCAAGAGCAGCATGGCATTGACGGGTGCCGCTCTCACGGCTGAGTATTATAGATAGATTTTAATTTCATTTTAACAAAATAGCTGTCTCCAATGGAAGAAGCATCAAGAGCTAAATGAGGACCCATCTTGAGCTGAATCTCGTTGAACAGACCTCGGCACTGTCATTGATTTTCTGGGAAGAAAAAAAATGCCTCTGGCTACTAAACCAAATTAGTAGTCACTGATGACCAATTATTTTGCCCCACTGTGAACGGAGAGGCGTACTAAAATTCCAGTTTGTCAGACCCAAGGCTCTCTTCTCAAACATCTTTCAACAAGCCTGTACCAAAAGTCCCTCAGATGGTTCTGACGCCTTCCTGTTTTTGGCAAGTTCTCCTTCTCCAAAGTTTTAATGAGCTGCTGCTATGAGGATGGCCTGCCAGAAAGGGAGCCCTTCCAAGCTCTGTAGAGCACTATTTGGCATGCCACACAAATCACAGCTGTCAGAATTTATACACACATACACAAAAAAAGTGTCAGCCTAATGTTTGCAAATTATAATTACCATTTCCCTTGCATGTCCCTGGTGCCTTCATTTTAGATAAATCCCAGCTCTGAGGTATCAGCTGCAAAGCACTGAAGGTTCACATTGAATAGATTTAACTAGTTTGTAGCTCATTTAAGGCCTACACTGCTTTATTTTAATATTGTTAATACTTTATTATACTTTTTAACATTGTTTTTACAGTAAAATAACCCATTAGAAGGCTGCAGCTTCTTTTCCAAGAGACTTCTGGCAGAATAGCGTACCACATTTTATAACCAAGTTAGCAGGCGCTTGTCGTTTCAATTGAATGTAGGTCTAAATCCTGACTCTTGAAAGTAATTTATAGAGAGAGCGTATTAAAGAGACAGGAACTGTTTCAGGGGTAATAGTTTTGAAAATGTGCATAGATAAGCTTTAAAATATTTAGGGAATGTCAGCATTAGAAGTGGCTCCAACTATTTGACTATAAAAGGAAGCAGCTGATTATTTTTTCCACAATTATAAATAATTTGTTACAACCTATCAGAACTTCTTTCCTTTTCCTCTCTGTGGCAGGATGCTTGTGCCAAAACAAGATCTGAGTTATTCTGAACGAGATGGGTTTTAATCCACAATAAGTGTTTTCAACAGATGCTTCTCCCTGCCCGCAGCACCCACAGATAACAGCAGCAGCAAAAATCCTCCCAGTTCAGAGCAATGACATCGGGGCAGGGTGACAAGAGAAAACAGAGCACATAAGCGGTTCATTCCTGTCCTTACGTAACACTAATGTGAGTGAAGAGTTTCCCATAGGTCAGCTGCAAACGAGAAATTCTATCACAGTGCCAAATTGCACTGATACCAGGGCCAGAATTCCCATCCACTCCAACAGGATCAGCATTTGACCCACAAAGAGAAGCCTTCTCACTGAAATTTCTTCGACTAAAGTTACCAGAGCAGATTGTGTTACCTGATACGCCCTCCCCTCTTCCCCACTTTCTCTATATTTCTCTCAAAGGAGCCAGGAAAAGCCAGTTGAAGCATCACTTTCTACAGCCCCAGCAGAACATGGATGTGTAACTAAGCACACAGGTTATTCCTACCGATTTCAAAGAGGTGGCTCATGCATGTATTATCCCAGGCACGATTCTATACTTAGCTGGATCAGTACTTAAATGTGATTAATCACACGGCAGGAAAGAATCTCTGAAGAGCATCAACCCAAATGTGTCCTTTCAAGCATTTACTTACAAGCCAGCTGTGGACTAATCAGTCACCAACTGGCTGGTCCATCAGAGATGGTAAAAGTCACCTCCACAGAGATGTAAACACACATTCAGCTACTGCAAAAATCAATAATCAAACACTTCCCACAAAGCCTCAGTGTTGTCCTGCCTTCCTCCCTGCTATCCAGGCACACCAGGAAAGCTTCCGCTTTGGAGAGCAAAGCCCCCACGCTTACTGAGCAAGTGTCTAGCACGGCCGTTCCTACCCACAGCAATGCCGGTGCTGGCTGGGGCGTTTTCCACTCCTTCACCAGTTTTACTGCCATACAGGTGCATACTGGGCTAGCAGTGTGATACAGCATAGAGCCAACACGCCGCTCAGAGTTATCCCAGGGTGGGACTGCCCATCTGGGCAATAAGACACTCAGCACTTGTCAGGACTACCCCACAGTTTTGCCATATCTTTTATGCTTTGTAAAGAATTTGCCCAGCTCTGATTGGCATGAAATGCCAAACTGGAAGGGAAGGAGGAGGGAGAAGCAGCGCAGACAAGGGGTAAGTGGCAGCATCCCCTTTGGCACAGGGTGTCTCCAGATGACAGTCTGGAGCACAGCTGATTTGTAAGCAAAGCCTTGAAAAGCCCTGCAGCATGTGATCTATGAAACGGGAGGTCTGCAGAAGGATGTCTCCTCTGATATGAATGCCCCCTCGGGATGTAGACTGCTGGATCGCACATCCAGTATCATTAGAAAACACGACCATAGATTAGGCTGTTTTGAAGCATGTGGTGTGCAATAATTAAGTAATAAAAGTCACGGCAGGGGTGAAGGAACAAGAAACAGAAGAGTTACTATTTGCATACACGCTGCTGGCACCCTCCGCCACTGTCAAAGATCCTCCAGACTGCTAAAAGCTGGCTGCTACCAAATTTGGATGGATTTCTGCCGACAACCTGTTTTTTGTTCTGTAGTCCGGTGAATGGGCTCTCCCCACAGAGACCCACCTCCCAGAGGAGGCCCAGGAGAAGCCCCAGTAGTTAGTCCCAGACACTAGTTCTCACAGCTGGTCTGGAATGACAGAGAAAGCCATGCCTTTCTGTTACAGGAGCCCAAGGCATCACAGACCACAGGTAGGAGCAGAGCTGGGCCCGTTGGCTCCACGTTGCCAGTGGTTGCTGCTGAGATGGGAAAAGTCCCTTCTCAGGAAGGCATGCAAGGACAAGAATTGAAAAAAGTTAAGCTGGAGGTCCTCCACCACCCTCTCAACACTCAGGAGTTCAATGATCACTGCTGGGGAAAAAAAATAGCACTGCAACCACACTGATAAGTGATATGCTGTCCTCATGGCAAGAACGCTGCTGCTCCACTGCTACCACTGCTGCTCCTGCCTTTCACAGTGGCTGATGAAGTTAAAGCATCCTCACTTTCTGGGTGCAAGGCACAAGAAGTCCAGGCTGCAGCTCTGCCACAAGCTGGTCTGGCTAACGCCAACTCAGGGCAGCTAACTTGGACACTGCCCAACAAGCAACTACTTTCCTATTTTTACTGTTTCTCTAGAACCATGGTCATCAACAGCTGCTCCCGTCTTGCTGTCCCCTTCTGACTGGGATGCTCCCAAGTGCCCCATTTCAAGGGGCAAATCTATCTGGCACGTGCCGCTGAGGCACTAGGCTGAGGCTCAGCAGTTCAACTGTGCTTTCTGCTGCAGACACCTGACCTCCTCTGCACTGAGTTTATTTCTATTTATGTCCAGATTGCTTAAGACAGCACTTATCCCTCTCAGCCAATCCATCATTGCCTCTAATTTAGCTTTTTGGAATAACATAGCAGTAATATTGTAATAGCAACAACATAGCAGTATTATTTTAGCAAAACATGCTTTATATCCACTGGTTCTTCCCAAGCAGCTGCCACTGCTGCATCAGACTAGAAAGAACCCAGCAGGACTATTTACAGCTGGTCAGAGCCCAAGTTGCTGCTCAGAGCTCAAGGATGGTGATGCAAAGACACAGCTCCACTTTGGGACTTGCCCCAGTCAGGCACCAGCTGGGGAAGCTGCAGCGGGACGAAGGGCTGAGCCACAGCCTGCGGTGCTCCGTGCTCCCTCCAGCGCACCATGGGCTTGAGCGGGGATGGTGATGTGGCCCCTGCAGGTTATGCAGCGGGGTTGTTGGCGTCCAGTCTGGAGATTGCCCTGGGGTGGTCCTGCTGCAGGGTAGCACAAGCAATGCAATCTGTGGTGCTTTGCAAACTGCAGAGAAATGGGGGTTTGATTCTTGCTCTAGGCAGAGGAAGACTTTTCCATTGCAACAGTTTATCCATCCACTAGTCACATTTTCCATCAGGAGCAGAGAAAGGAATCAGCATGGGGAGGTAAAAAGAGGCATTAACCCTGGAGATTATTGTTGTCTTTTGAATATTTCCTAGGCCTTCCACTCCCTTTTTTGATCTCCTCCATCACAAGTACAAGGAGCTGTGGTTGGAGCAGCAGAGAGCAATGACAGTGATCCAGCAAGAAGAAAAAAAAAAGGTGATAACTCTCCAGCTGTGCTTTCCCTTCCTTTGCCCCCAGCAGGTATAGCCCTGCTACCTGGCACGAATGCCCACTGTCCCACCCCACAATGGATGGACTTCTCCCGGCCACGGGGAGGGAGCTCAGCTGGGAAGTCATTTTTCCTGACTACTAGAAAGCTGGCAAAGCATAACTAAAAGATGAGCTGCTTCCAAACTGAGATAAGCCTGGCTCTGGCCAGAGCACGTCCAGGAGAGTGATGCAGTGGGAGTGAACACTACATATGAAAATCAAAATGCGTGAACCTAAAAGTGATCTAGAGACAAAAGGGAAAATGTGTTTGTTTTTGGTTTTTTTAAAAAGTATTTTTGTTTCTAAGGATACACCCAGGAGCCAAGCAAAACACCTTCCTAGCTATCATTAAGCATCTATCTGCATCAATGTCTCTAGTCTCAGTGCACCTAGCTTATTATCAGTAAAAATGGAGGCTCTAATTCTCATTTTCACCCGTGCCTCTTTGCATTGCAACAATACAAGAAGTCCCTGTCGTAATAAAGAATTAGGCTTCAAATTATCTTAGGCATTTAATGTCATCCTCATTGCAGGAGCCCCACAGACAGTCCTTAGGAGAGCATCAGCTCTGCTTAGGTTAGCGGTGACAAAGGACCAAACAACAGAGCAGGTGACAGACATTCAAAGGACCAACATCAGCCCGGATCTTGGCATGACATGGCTGCTGCTAGCACCCAGTGCAGTTGTTAGAGGGAAGCTCTGTGCCATTAAATATAACAATATTGTAATAACATTTAAAAGCAGCCAACGACTGGTTTATTAGTTAATGGCTCAAAGAAGAGTTGAGCTAATATGGTAATCACCAATTTTAGTGGGCTTACTGCCATCACAAAGTATACTTTATAGTTGAAATGCAAGAATCCAGTGTTCTTAATTAGCAGCTATTTTATGAATGCACAAGTCTAGGACGTTGGAAAAACGCGTCCCTACCTGATCTATTAGCAGCTGATGCTTTTAACGGCTAAGTTCCCTCCATCAAGTTTCTGAAGCCTGCAGCTGCCAATTACTGAATTAAGCAACACAAACCTACCTATTACACCACACAGCAAACAGATTCCCCAGGGTTTCACGAGTTGGCCGAAATATTCACCCAGTACCTGCACTGGCTCATGCTGGGACTATCAAGCATTGCAAGCTGCAATTAGTCAGGAGAGCGACATCCCACCAGACAGCCAGGAAAATCTCCCCCTGTGGTGGGGGCGACAGGAAGGACTTTCACAGCTAGCGACAGCCCACTGCTCTAGCTTGAGCACAGGGCTTCCTACAGGCAGTGGTCACCTCACTGGGTGTTCACTGCCATATAAAATAGGCATCCTCAGAGCAGGCAGGTGTTCAGGCTTCCCTCATCTGTATATTCTAGATATCTGCATTAGCCACATAGACACAAAAGATGACCCAGATCAGGTATCAGTGTCACATTTTCCCAAAGGGGCACACTAGCGATCATTGGTCCAAACTGACTTTTTACTTGGTTCATCCTAGCATCATTGTGTTGCATGGCCCTGGCCCGATGAATAGAGCTGTGGGGTGATTTCAGCCCTTTCTTGATTATCTTTTGTTACAGAAAGGCAAAGCATATGAAACTCGTACCACGTTGCTCCGAAAACACCCACTACCTGCAAAAGAGGAGTCCTTCTGGCACTTGCCCCACTTAGAGAAGGTATGGAGCACTTGTCCAAATGTGGGGACACCCTCTAACCTTGTCCACATGTGCTGATTATACCCTTAACACATGATGAAGATAGACATGAGGCTCTTGCCTCAGAGCTCGCTGTGTGACACCCAGACCCTGCAATGCTCCTCCACTGAAGAGGCTCAACCATCAGCCCCTTTTGGGCTTCGGGGATGCTTACTAAGATCTGATCTCTACAATGTAGAAACTGCCCTAGACAAATAATTATGAAAAGGGGTGGGGGTGGGGGGGGGGGGGGGGAAGGGTTTTAAAACTGTAGGACCAGGAAGACAGGCAACAGTTGCCCAGATGATGGGTTTAATGACTTGTTTTCCAATTTGTGTGCACTTTCATGAGCTTCACCAGATTAGAAGCAGCTTTTCGTACCTCCTCTTTAGCACTTGGGCAGCCTTTGCTCTCTGCTGGGATCTCAGCACCCAGCCTTCCCATAGCTGCCCTGAGCGAGCAGGGCAGTCACATCTGCACCTGTACGGCCTCCCACCTTGTCTTCTTACACCAGATTAAGATGTTTCAAGAAGCATTTTCACCCCGAGAATAAGATTTCCAGAAAGCTTGCGCTCTTGATTCCTCTCTAAACTACCCGATTGACAATATTCTCCTCAAGACCAAGCAGAGGGTCTACCCAGGTTACAGAGGTATATGACACTTCCTTTAATTGATCCAAATAAGAGTCAAGGTGAAGGTTTCTTGTTCTAGCAATGGGATCTAAGCAGCTCCCTGAATTCACCTGTGCATCCTGCTGGGCTCTGGGGTACTTATTTGAATCCTGTTAGCTTTGTTTGTGGTGTAAATTACAGGGAAACTTCAAGTGAAGAGCTAGGGGGCATTTTAGGAAGGAAGGGAGAAGAGTCAGACAGGGAGAATGGAAAGGAGACACCAGAAGGTCTGAGAGCACTGAAACCCTGCAGGGAGTTTACATGGCCCAAATCATATCTGGCATTGATAGATACCACTGCAAAGAGCCTCCTAGCCTCTGTTGCCCAGGCCCTTGTTCTGATGGAGTTATTTTTTCTGCCGTGCTGTTGATTTTTAACTGTAGTTTAAAACAAAGAGCACTTGTGACTTCCTGAAGCTAATGTACTTGAACAAGTTGGAGAGTTTCAACCAAGAAATGTTTTTTGCACCACCTTGATATATTCTTATGTCCTGTCTAAGACTGTCCAATTAGCATATGTCAGTAATCATTTATCCGGGCTGCCTGTCAGCACAGAGCTGCTGCTGCCGCTAGTGTCAGGGAAGGAACATGACCGATCGCTGTTAAACAGATTGTGTAAGTCACACTAGATACTGGGGCAGGCCTCCTCTTTAGAGCTCCTCTCACCCTAGACCTTTCCATCACTCTTCATTTTTCAGCCTGTTTTGCTTCTCCACACCTTCCCTTCCATTTCATCTGCAATTGCAGTTGAATTCCTCCCCAGCCGTAGGTCTCACACCCAGCTCCTGAGTCTTCCCCTCTCCTTGCCTTTTCTCCTTCCTCAGGAGCAGCATCTGGGGCAGGAGGGACAGCTCATTTGCAGATTTTCGGTACTCTTCTTCTTCATTACATTACCTGAAAAGTTTGCCTTGCCCCAGCTGCAGACCCAACAGGCACAGCCCATATTAGGGCTTGGATCAGGAAATTCATTGCTCAGTTGAGTTTCGGTGCATGGCTTCCTTCATGGAAAATTGTTTTCTTGGGCATCCACAAATGTTTGCCCTGTTAAGAGCAGCAATGACCCAAGGAAAGCTGATGGCTTTGCAAGCCACTCAATACCCTCCAAGCTGTGCCCTAATCTGTCTCTATAAAGTTGGGCCCTGAGTAGGTGGTGACTGAACAGCCTTGAAAGATAAAACTGGCCCAGCCCTTGAACCAAACACAGCCAGACTAGAGGAGTCACTCCATCTATCACAAGCATGATTAGGAGCACTCCAGAGAGGTGAGGAAGTTTGTTCTTGCAGCATTTCTGCCCTCGTGAAACTTCTTTCCCAGGCACTTCCTCGGTGGTGGACAGCCTCCTTACGGCTTTAAAACTGACTCCATAGTCTGGGCAGGACAGTTTAAGTACTGTTCATTCTAAGCAGTTTACCAAAATGCTGCCTTTATTCTATATAATGCACAGTTAACAGTTTGTACATGTATCAGGCACTCTGCTCTCATCCAAACAAACTAAGGGCCAGAAGTTTTGAGCACTACCAGGTTGCACACGAAGTGGCAGAAAGCTGCATATAGATGTTCCTGAGGGAACTGCTTTGAATTACAAGGCTTCTTAAAGCCTTTCCCTTTCTCAGGCTCCCCACTACCCCTGCCAGGCTTCCCTGGCACCACCAAAAGATGGGAGACTATTACTAGGGTCTCACAAGTTATCTGATTTTTCCTCAGCTAGAAGCTCCAGCCCATCCACCCTGAAAGTTCCTTTGGTGCTAGAGAGTTGCCAAATGATGTTACAGAAAAGCCAGATCTCAGTTCAAGCAGCAAGGTCTGGACTGAAACAAATATTTTCGTTTTCAGAGGAATTATACTGATTATCTGAGGTATCTAAGCCAGTGGTATCCAGTGGTACCTAAGCATGTGGTTATTGCTCATCTGAACCAGGAGTGAGCAGAGAAAGACTCTTGTGTCAGATTGTTTCTTGTTTTGCTTAGCACCCACAGAAAGCAAACAGCTAATGGGCTGTTTTTTGGGTTTTTTTT